TTCTCACATCACAGCATCATTTACCCCCATCACTGTTTAACCCTTTAATGGCATTGTCTGCAGAACGCTCCACTAATGGATCCTTTTTTGGGGATTTATTAAGATGTTCACAGGGTTACATTAAGAACAGCAGACCTTTACTGCCCTCGTATCCACTGGGGAGCCAACTTCACATAATATGGCCTCAAACAATGCAATCGACCCAGAAAGGGAGCAAAGATAGCCAGGATAAGAGATAAGTGCAGACAGCTTGCACCTCAGGCTATTCCTCTACTCAGCCTTCTTCAGCTAAAGATCCAATCACATGAGAGCATAATTCATTAAACAAGACGAAGTCTGTAGCTGAAGGAAATTAGAGACTGTTTTCTCTACATGGCTACAGAAATCTGCCTTTAGGAGAACGTTCGAGCAATTGCTTCTGATGTGTGGAGCATCTCTCTGTTTGACAGAGCACGACTCCAAGGTGAAACGTGGAAATGTGTACATGTGTTTACAGCAGTGATGCTATGGGCTCAAATCCTTTTAATGTGGATAAACTGTGTTCACCTGATCTTGAACTTTTCACGTTGTGATGTAGTACAATTTTTGTATCGATACAATTCACCAGTTTTGCTGCAGTTGACATAGCACTCATTCAAATCAGCCCAGTGAAATTAGTCAAATTCTTCTTAAAATGCTCCTCTGGGAAACTATCCAGGTGTGTGCTCTTTGGAAAAATTCAATTTTAAAAGTTACAAATGTTTGGAGGAGCTTTCCTGTATAACTGAGACAGGGTGCTCCTATTTTAAAGATGGTTAGGGTAAAAAAGGCAGTAATCAAATCTTTTTCTTATATGATTCAAAGGACTGATTTTAGTTGGGGGAAAAAAAGAGTCCAAGATTCCATACTGAGCTGTTAAAAGTCAAAGAGATGCCCTCTGGACTAATTATACTACCAGATAGTTTCTCTCTGAGGTTTTCAAAGACACCACCTCAGTTTTTGTCTGATTTTAGATGCATCCAGTTTGTATATCTTCAAGACGTGCTTGAAGTTTAATCTTGCTTCATATATAAGTATCTTTGCTATCATTAGCATAACAAAGGAATGGATGCCATGCTGCCCAGTGATTTAGGGAAGCGGGTATAAAGGGAGAGGAACCGGTCCTAATGTAGAACTCAGAGGAACTCCATGACTTACTCTGGTGTGAGAGGCATATTATCTATTTCAATATACTGTCAGTGACTCATAGGAGATCTTTGGTGATGAGCTCTTAGTCCTGACTGAAACTATTCAGACTATTTCTGTGGAAATGAGCACAAAGATCGGCTGCAACAGTTTTGTCCAAGCCCTTAGAATTAAAAGGGAAATTTGATAGAGGCTGATAGATAACACACCAGCATCAGGAGCAGGTTTTCTAAGTAATGTTACCATTAGTGCAACTTTAAATTAACTTGATCCATCTCTAATTATTGCTAGGATATGTTCCATTTACATATCCTAGCAACAATTAGAGATGGATCAAATCCAATATGGTCCTGTAAATGAAGGGGACACATTTCTTTGAAAGGCTTGTTTGGTTTTTGGTCTAAAACAAAAGTTGGTGGTTTCATAAGAAGCTATTGTTGTTCTAAAGATACTTCTAAAGGTGTTGTATGACCTGATAGCTCTGTGATAATAGTGGAAAGCATTCCATCAATCTTATATTTTTTTCAACAGTTCTATTGTGCAAGAAGCTCATGAAATAATCGCACATGACCTGTAGCATCTACATTTAAGTGGTTGCTTTTCATCTGTATTAACTTTGTTACTATTTCCTGTAGAAGGGTTTCCTACAGGCGTGAAGGAAACACCACCCAAAAATGTGTTTTGCATTTAGTATCAAATATAAAACTTTTTTTTCTGATCCTGGGCACAAGGTCAGGAAAATATTATGTTTTATGACCGAGTGCCTCAGGTTTATTGTTGGACTTTTAGGCTATTTGAGCTACTGTTGAAGGTTTTGATTGCAATGAATCATTCAGTATTTGATAAATAAAAAAAAAACAAGCTTATGTTTTAATTTATGTTTTAATCGATCTTGTGGAACTTCTGACGGAGGGGCAGGAGCTTCTTCCTTAAGGATGATATTTCTGTTTAATTTTAGTTTCCAACAGTAGCTCCTCAGGTGTGTTCACCAACGGCTTAATACACCAACAGCGTGTCTGATTAAACACCCATCACAACTGAGATTGCACTGAATTCATGGTTTAACAGGGCTGGAAATCTTTGTGACTACAGAACTGAAAGAAAATATACAGCCTGGGATTATTGTTAATATCTATACAGACTAATTGACACACTTCTAAATTAGAAGAATGCCATATTCCTTCCAACATTCTTGTATTCTGTTTTAACCCCTGGAAGCCTGATCCAAGAAAAAAAAGAAGTAATTTTTATGTTTGAAGTCTTTATTTGGCCCTTTAATAAAAATAAATCATCATTTATTAACATTCAATAATACACAATTATTGTGGTGTAGTCTTCTCCCCACTCAGCTATATCTGATTGTGTTCAACATGGTTTTGAGCAAAGGTTTTACCATTAAATGATGCAAAAGGTCTCATCTGATACATGTGGAATTACAGGGTTAAAGTAAGTAGCCGAGAGTTAAACCAAAAAATCAGCTTCAGATGATAACTTCTTTTTTAGAGGGTCAACATTGTCCAGTGTTTTACACCCTGATTGTGTTGTACTTTCAACTACACAGTCCGGTTGTTTGGTGGAACGTTTAGGTAGCTGTCCTCTGCTGTATTTATATAGTTCAGAAAATGATAATAGAATAAATCTTTTTAATCTGTCACAGCATTTTCTGATAGACGCCTACACTTTTTTTTCTCAGATGCTGTGTAGTCAGTTACTGTAAGCTTAAATTGTATAAAACAAAAGTCTGATCAATTCTGAGAAAATCCAACTGAATCTAATATGGGGCTAATGTTCAAATTTAGATATAGTATTCAACATTTTCACCAACTACGAGCCATGTGCAATAATTCACAAAATATAACTAATGGAATTAGATGAGGTCATGAACATGCACACACACAAAAGATGAGATTTTTCCAACAAAGCTCCAGATTCCATGCTTTCTTTCACCGAATAAAAATGTCAAATCATCTATGGAAAGTGTTGAATAACACCAAATGTTGCAGCAGCTCCACTAGACCTTTTAGCACAGCAATTACCTCGTGAAAAGCTCAAAGAAAAGCAGTGATTTAACCCAAAGCCTTTCAGTCAGTAGGTGGACGTATCGAGCACAAGGGCATAGCAGTGTCCTCGTATCGGTGATGGAAAGCCAACAAAACAGTAGAGACTGAGATTTAAACCTCACTATTTACTGTGTGGGTTATGGTTGGACCAGTTTCAGCAATGGGTAAAAAAAAAGCTGACTGTTCCTTCTGCTGACCGCTGATTGTGAGTCACCTGAAGACAGAAAGTACTTTTTCCATCATCTGTGATATTTAAGGCGATTTCTTGGGGTACTCTGATAGTACGGTGGAGTTTCCTGTCCATAAAACACATTTGAAAAGTAATCATTTTTTGCTTGACTTGAATAGCTGCAGTTCATGTGTTAGCTGGCACCCACTGGAGGAGAGTAGAAATATACTCTGAGTGTAGTAATATTAACTTCTCAAATCTCCTGATTCTTAATATATTGGAGGAAGTATAATACCTCGAATATCTAACTTGAAGGAATCGGCCATTTTTTAGCTGTCCCTGAATGAAAGGGAATGGAATGTTGCCAAAAGGTGAGGCTGTTAGGTTTCTAGTAACATGACTTTTTTTTTTTGTGAAAATGAGTTGTTTTGTACTGAACAGGGGCGACTGTGGTAGTGAGAGTTGACTGGTGTTCTTTGGTGTCATGGTAGGTTATACTGGAGAAAATTATGAGGAAGAGTTGGATCTATTTGATGCTAATAGTACTTATTTATCTGAATCTCCTCACCACCACCTCCACACCCATTAAGTGACATCCATCACTCCATGTTTTAAAAAGTGGACTCAGGTAGCTGAAAATGACCCATGGACCAGGAATAAGTCAAACAATATCTCCACCCAAGAAGAAGACATCACGAAAGAATGGCAGGATATATATATGGCAGCATAGTGAATAGCAGATTAGACAAAAAAAATTCAAATCAAGAATAATTGTAATGTCTTTTTCATTAGATTTTACTCATATATGAATACATTTCTCAATCATTGCCACTTCCAGAACTGAAACCATGAAAATTACTTTTTGATTTATACATGAAGTGCCTGCACTAGTGCCTGTTGATCTATATTATATTCCATCATAATCCACTAAACTCATACAGGATGCAGTACAACCTCTACATATGAATTTAAGTCGTTCCAGGACCTACATCGTATGTTAAAATATTCGTATGTTGGTTCAAATATTCCCATAAGAACACACAAATTTGTATTATTTGTTCCACAGACCCAAAACATTTGATGACTCCTTAATAAATACTGCAGATAATTACACATGGCAATAAAACAAATTCATTATATAAGAGAGATGTAAAAAGAAAGAAATTATAAAGAAATAATCAATAAAAATGATTTTTTATTGGTAACACAGAAGCAAACAATCATCCCGTGAATCCCACAAAATAGATATATTACATAATGATAATTCATTATAGTTCTCCCTGCCTCCTTCACCTGAGTAAAAACATTAAATGGAAAAAAAATACTATTTTATTTATTTACATATTTATTTCAAATCATTTTCTGCCTGACTTTTGCCTTATTTATTTAGTTTTTCCTTCTTCTTGTTATTCTCTGCTTTGATATTGAATTATTGTTTGTTCTAGATCCAACACAGCTGAAAAGGGAGTGAATCCTGCTCATTCCCACAACTACAAATCCCAGAGTTCTTGAGGGGCTAAGCCTGGTCATATGACCAGGCGGCAGGAGCAGGTGGTTAGCTGTCACATGATGTTATTAGCCGAGGCTGAGGAGCTGCAGCATCAGAGTTGAATCACAGCCCACTTCCCTTCCTACGTGAAAAGGTAAAGCTGGAAAAAAACACCCTCCATTTTAACGCTGTGTCTTTTTTGCCTTTGAGAGGGATGCTGCGGGCTCCCACTGGCTGCTGGGGGAGGAGGAGAGGCGGTGGGGGGAGAGGATAGGGGATAGGGGGAGGGGTGGCCATCACAAACGCCTCATCGCTGCTTTCTGCTGACAACAATGGAGCACAGATGTTTGCACTGCATTCATCTGTCGGCTGGAAACAGATTCTGCCTGCAGCTTATATCTGAGGTGCGTGTAAGTCTGTGGATTCCATATCGCAGTGATCTGATAGGGGGAAAAAAGGATGGATTTGTGAGTGGGTGCCAATTACTCCCACTTTTAATATGAGAGCTATGACACTGTCAGGAAGCATGGTCAGATTCTCCCTAAACCTCATACCTCCCCACTCTCCTGTCCATCACATACATGTCCTGGGAAAACAAGCTTTTTCTTTACAAAGCCACAACTTAGTAGTAGTTTAGTATCTTGTATGATTTAGTATCCTATTCAGACCAGCGGACCTTTTAAATGACAGCATTGTGTAATATTTTCCAATTATTACCTCAGTAGAATACATTTTGATGAAAACATTTATTTATAACAATTAACAGTTGCAGTATCTCTGAATAGCTAAAATAATGGCATCACTCCTCATGCCTTCAGAGGCATTTGTGCACTGTCTAAGGGAACACTGTGATGGACAAACTACCTTTCCCAAGTTCCCCCTGCCTCTCGCCCAGTGAGTTACTGAATGAACCACTTGTGTGACTTTAGTGATGGGGACCAGCTCAAAAGCAAACAGGAAGAGATTGAACAACAGCCCATATACACTGTGGTTTCATGGGGTTCAGTACCTCTAAATATCAATGAAGGTCATATTTAATGTAATGATTAAGACATTTTCACTGTGTAGCAGGTTTATGAGATGTTCTTAAAAATGTTTTGTGTACAAACAATGAAAATGTTAAATATGCGCTGGTTTTCAAATGTGACAGGAGATAAATCTGCATTTTAACCATCTAGAGACAGATGTAAATATCCATCCATCCATCCATCCATCCATCCATCCATCCATCCATCCATCCATCCATTATCATTACCGCTTATTCCCTAATGGGGTCACGAGCACAGACATATATACGTAGACCCCGCATTGAGGGCTGAATCGTACGTCAACATCACCGCCATCTTGGATGTGGCAAAGTGGAGAATCGGAGTCAGCGATCAGACAATGAACCGGTGTAAATCTCAGGGTTTTATGTCCGCCAACATCTCAAAAGGCTAGTTATACGGTTCAGTCCGTTTCTTTTCATTAGTTTAAGGGGCAGTTCTGCCAAATCCAAGATGGCGGACGCGCTGACGTATCGCTGCAACGGACTAACCTGCTCAATGTGGTGTCTATGTATATATGTCTGTGGTCACGGGGGGGAACTGGAGGCAGGTCAATTGGCAGGAGGCGGGGTACACCCTGAACCATCTGCCAGTCCATCGCAGGGCCACACAGAGACACACAAGGACAAACAACCACTCAATGTCCAATCAGCCTAACATGCAGGTTTTTGGACTGTGGGAGGAAGCCGGAGAACCCGGAGAGAACCCACGCAGACACAGGGAGAACACGCAGACTCCACCTTGAAAGGTCCTGCTTCCCCCGGGACTCCAACCCAGAACTAACCACCACACCACCATGCCGCCCTTAGATATTTATGTAGCAAATGAAGTTAATGAAGTTCATTTGCATCACTAGAACTGTCTCTGCATATTTTAGACCTTATGTGTGCTGACCAACGGCAGATAAATTATGATTTTTGTGACGGAAACAATTTATAATTAGTTTTCATTCATTTTTGTTTGATCAGTTTTGCCATATCGGTCACTATTTATTAGGTTTTACAGTAGATTCAATGAATGCCCTGATTTTTTCAGTTGTCTCCCTACTTTGGGTTGGTGGAAATATGCTATAAATAAAGGACCTATTGGACGTGAGGTATTATTTCCAAGAGCAGCAATATGAATTAGACAACGCTGAAATACATCCGGATGTTTAGCTTTTTCTGCCTGTTATTAGGACCACAACCTCTAAGCTTTATGAGTAATTGTGGAAATTAAGATTTCAGCATCATCATTAAAGTACAACCAAAGAATTGGAATTGTATAGAAAACCAGACCAATAGACCAAAACTAGACCACAGACTCATAAAACATCCTTTGCTTTTGACTTCCCACAGTCGATTAGTAGCTGCCTGGTCTGATGTTGAAGTGCAGATGGGTCTGTTAAGGCTCCTGTACTCGGCTCCTCTCTATCATCTGTGAAACACTCCACAGCAAACTTCTAAACGTGAAACAGCTCTGAGTTGTAGCAGAAATCCGGGTGAAGAGAAGAGGGGCCATCACCATGCCCTGGGGTGCTCCAATGTCCCTACTCAGTTTGAGGTTTACAGCCTGTGAGGGAGCTGGAGATCCAGGCAACAAGGCAGGGCCACTCACATCTGCTAGAGTGACCTGTTGAAGGGAGGGAAACTGATGGCTGCAGAGAGGGGGGGGTCTTCTCCCCTGTCCCACCATCCCAGTCCTCCTCTGTGTTGTTATTCCTCAGCTTCTGCTCCAACATCCTCCTGTAGCAGTCAGTAGCTTTCCTCACATAGCATTTAACCTCCTGCCTTGCTTTGTTCATCGCCTATCTGTCCCTGTTCCGGAGGACAGCTTTGACTCTCTCTTTTACCCATGGCTTGTTGCTAAGGTAGCATGGTTTGGCCTCAACGGGGGAAACCACATCTGCACAGATGTTAAGATAATCTGTCAGGATGTGTGCCGTCCCTTTCTACGTCCTCAGCTTGTAGGTTTAGCAGCACATTCCTGTGTCTGAGGGTAATTTTAATTTCTGGGGACCTAATTGAGCAAGTTGGTGCAGGCTGCCTTTGATCCAGAGGGGGTGTACTTTGGCTGCAGATGAACCAGGTTGTGGTCAGATTTTCCGATTGGGGAAGGGGTGTGATTCTGTATGGCTATCGTAAATTCGCATTTAGCATTGTGCTGTTCTTCCTTACTGGACAATGTACGACCTGGTAAAAAGCAGCTTTGATAAAGTCCAAAGCAATGTGATTGATTCCCCGGATGAATCTGGGTGCTGTATCTGCAGCCTTGTAGTGACTGCGTAAATTATCTCACATTTAGCGTCTGCATCCACTTGAATAAACGTAGCAACAGATGGTGATCATGTGACTTAACTCCCCTCGTCATGTGGAATGGATGCAGACTCCAAGTCTGAACAACATAGGGCCACCTTCACATATATATTATAGACGATAAGCCACCCACCTTTGCTTTTCCGCATAACTGAGTGTCTCTGTTGGGGGTCACATGAGCTGGGTTAGCCATGTCTCCATGACGATAAACAGGCTGCTTTCATGGTAAATCCGCTGGTTGTTGAGTTTGGACAACTCAGAGATCTTGTTCAGCTGAGAGTTCACGTTTTCCACAGAATTATTGTAAAGGCATCTGTCTTCTGTAGAGTCATTTAGTTAGTTAGCATTAGCTGATTTGATAAGGCTGTGTGTACATGTTCAGTGAAACATATTTACTGCATTCAGCACAAATATGTTGTGCTGATTACCACTATATGTTCGTCTGTATCATGAGTGTGTTTGATGAGAGAAAACAGCAGCACATGTGAAACGGTCACGCTTGTGTGTTAATGGGTAATTGGAAACATGTATTTATATTGCCTTAGGTGAGGTGAAAATATGCTTCATGAATGTACATATCACCATTTACGAGTAATTCTCATCTTGTTTTTTTTTCAAGATGCAAAACATTAAGCTGTTTACACGGTACGAGAGATTCAGTCATCTCCATAACTGCCTGGCACTCTGCTTTTATCATGATGCAAGCATGAACAGCTGCCTGCTTAGCAACTGTTTGTGTGGATTTATGAACTTCGAAATATTTGGCAACACTGTGTGTGTCGCCTAGCAAAAGCAAGAAGGGAAACCTCTCTCTGCCTATGACATTAATCCAGAGCTAACCAGCATCAAGCATCTGCACTGTGAATGAACCGCTTCCTGTCTTGTCTGAGACAGAAATTTTTCATTATATGAGGAAAATATGTATATTTTTTTCTGACAAAAAAGCATTTGTGAACCATGGTTTATGTGTTACCTCCAGCATCTCAGAGAACTACAACAATAAGGGCTTGTCTCCTTATGTTGTACGCTACGTTAACTAATGTGGCACGCTAGCATCCGGCAGTGCTTCGGACCTTGTGTAATACAAATAATGTCATGTGAAAGCAAACATTTTCTGCTCACTGTTCGCCCAGTGAGCATTAGAGCTCACACAGTAGCTTCAAAGAATGACTAGAATGTTGGATGGCAACTGAGACCTTTTATTAAGGTCAGGGAGGGAACGGAGCCCTTTTCTGGATATGATTTCAGGATTCAGGGAGACAATACACTTCCGTATGAGATAACAAGGGCAGGCCGGGCTCTGTGATGTGTGAATAATGTTCGGACAGAGGTTTAGACATCATTAGAATAATAAGTCTTATATGGAGATGCACAGTAGCACAGAGGAGGCCTAATGATGGTACTAATTAACGGTTGCATGCACAGTTCTCTTTTTTTGACAATGCTGACATGCAATTATCTACTCTGACAGTTGTCTGAGACTTAGAAATATTTGCTTTTGTATTAGGTATTTGCCTATTCTTTTCCAATGAACTTCTTCCCTACATTACACACATTTTTTCCTACTGCTGCCTGCTTGAGTCACGTAGCCACGGCTGTGCAGACGCTAGACAAAAAGCTTTTGGGAGTAGTTCAGCGTCGGCTCATTATTGCGGGAACACACTCAGCATAGTTGATGTTTTATTGTATTCCTCTACTCATCTTGCCGTTTGCCTGATTGGAAATCCTATTGATCATATCAGATTGGATAAGTAATTGATTGCTACTGGTTATTAACCTCCCAGAACTTTGGGCTCACTTGCCAGCCAGCGAGA